TGGATACTATCGTCGCGTTGCAGAAATGACTGCTGTAAATTAGAATCGTGGCAATACATAATAATCTAAAGCCATAACAGAAAGCATTTGCGGACTGATTGCGTTCGCGACTCGAATAAATTTCCGTTTTCCACTCATCGAATTTATGTAGATGCAACTGGTATTGCAAAATATAAATAATAACAATGTCACGCAAAACATTTTAGCGAAACATTTTATCAATTTATCGATCACCGAAGAGATAAGTTATTTTCGACGCTGGGCTCTTTCTAATGAATTTAGTACAAGGTATGAGATTTTTCTCGCGCAAAATCTTTCGTCGTATATATACCTATATATATATATATATATCTTGAAAAATAATCTCGCACACAAGTGGCAGTTCAATTGAAGCGTTTAGTTGGGAAAGTGGCGCGAGACTTTAAATTTCTAGCTTCCACTTTGGTGGTGCCACGCCCTAGTTAGCCCGCTGGCAAGAATATCGTGCAAAAGAGATGAATTTTTGAAGGGGGGTGCACTCGGGCGAACCGACGCGGAAATGGCTCCCGTCGCGAAGATGGAGCGGCTATACGCCGAGAGTATTCCATATAACAATGTTATACGCAGCGGGGCGAAATTTTCGAAGCCGTGCTTATGTTGGCACGAAATATTGTCGCAGCGGCTTCCACGAGCGCGGAACGGCGCTGCAATACAAATATCCGTTGACGGCAGTGGCACTCAGGCACTGGAGAACCTGTGCGGAGGCTTTGGACTTCTCCAAAGTTTGAGTTTGTACTCTCGCACGCGGGGACATCGCGAAGTGTCTCTCCGTTGCAAAGTGGAATCCTATAACGATACGGATATTCGCGCATACGTGCGCCGCATACGTGCGCCGCGTTTAGCGTCTCGTACCACAATTCCGTAGAGTTTCGTTTACATACCCGTACGCGACACAGGAATTTCTATTCGCAAAACCATGCATAATATATTGTGTCGGTTTAATACGCGGACGAAGCGTATTGTGGGCGTACGGGAGAAAATTTTGGGATACAATATCATTCGATTTCTCTTTCCTACCGTTCCTCTCGTTCTCTTCTCTCTTTTTATTCAATATTTTATTTCAGTTTCCATAGAAACGTGAGGAAAATCGTTAATGGTATTTTATACGCCTATCAAAACTTTCCGTCGGTCATTACTGACAACAGGAAAATTCGCGGTTTGATTAGTGTGATTGCTTTCTTAAATTATTATACACACGGAAAGAACAATTTTGCTGAATCTAGATCTGAAAATAATTTTTGTTCAATAATCAAAATATTTTTGTGCGAAAGTCAAAATGATTGCTAGAATATCAAAACATTTTATAGCAATACTTATCAATTTTAACATTCCAACAAATTATTTTGATAATTCAACAAAAATTATTTTTAGATCTGTTTTTAGCAAAATTTTTAGACCTTTCAATAAAATCGTTCTTTTCGTGCAGTATTGTATTTCAGATAAATTGGAACTTTGATTAAATCGAAGATGCTATAAAAAAAAGATGAGTTTCCAAAAAAATTTTATTTTTTCGTCGGACGTGTCAAATTTTGTATTCTAGTATATCTCCTATTTTTCTCACGACTCTCCATGTCACGAGTCTTCCTACAAATGTGAGATCTGTTTTGCGGTGTACCGTGTAACGTCATGTTTCGTTTTTTTTTCTTTTTTTTTAGAAGTAACGTTACACGACTTTTCCAATTCTCTGTGTGTTCCATCGTAACCCGAGTCGTTGCAACGTTGAAGGAGTCACCTGCGTCTCACTGAAACCAAACGCGATACATAAAACTCCATTATATACCCGTGGAGGATGTCTGCATCATTGAAGCGCCCTAAAACTCCCGGAGGTCCAATACTTCACGTAATGCGAATCGATGCATAATGCACGTGTATGTGTGTGTGCAGGACGTGCGCGAGGGCGCATATTGTACGGCGAATCTACAGGGAAAACGCATACGAAACGCGAAACGTCGACGAAACGTACGTCGCGTTTCATCCCGACGCTTTTGCTCCGCGACGTAGTGCGCGGCGTAGCGCAGCGTGATCAACGCGCGCACGCCGATCTCGGGAACAACGGGGATGGCCGTGCGCGTGTAAGTATGCGTGCCTTCGAAATAACTGGGATTCCACTGCGAAAGTGTGTGCACGACAACCTGCTTCGGAGGTGGGACGAAATAAACGAGCCGGGCGGCATGGTCGGTTCGGACGACTCGCACGAGGCGGACGTTCGTTCGTTCGCTCGTTCGTTCGTCGCCATTACGCTTCTATAATTTACTTAAGCTTTTGTCAGGGAATATATCCGAAGTTTCTCTCCGTTATCGTGCGATCGCAAATCTTCGCCCTTGCTTCGCGAAAAGGAAGTAAAACATTCACGATAGGAAGCGTAATTCTCATAAAGAATGAAGGAGAGAGGGTTGTCGATATCTCGATTATTTATTTAATATTGTTTTACGCGGAAATCGACTTACTCGTGGTCAAGTTCCAATAAACTCGCATAACCCTCGGTAGATTAATATTGAATCGACTGTTGTACGTCCACGAGAAACATTGTTTTATTTGGATAGTGGATTGAAGATAATATCAGACCTTTTATTATATCAAGAATTTTCTTATCTCTCAGGAATTTACTTATCGGATTTCTAAAGAAAATTGACAGCAAACTTACAAAAATATCACTAAATGGCTTCAACTGGCAACATAAATATTTAAAATATTATAGCCTTTTTTATTTTTAAATTATGTTCTGTTAAATATGTGCTACTAAAAAAAATTATATCACTATATAGAAACGATATTGTTTTTTGAGTCGTTAACAAATTCATAACCATTATAAAAAAGTACGTAAAATATTTTAAATTTGATTCCAGCTTAATCGCGTTGTTAAAATTACTGTATGTGACTTTGTAATATCTATTTGTAAATTTATTTCTGGATGACAAATGAAATCAATTATATTTATTAAATTACACGTGTTCTTTAACGACCACTTGTGTTTTACATTTACCGTTTTAACAGGCGTAATATAGAATTATGTACACCAACGTTGCCTGTAATTATGTAACTGCGCACATTGAGAAAATGAATTAATTCGAAATTTCATTACTTATTGTGATATTATAATAATTACAAAAAACACAACATATAAGCGATATAATATTATTTCGGTTCGATTTTGGTAGGCTTCGCATTTCGTATTGTAGGTCGTCCTTGAGCATGAAAATTATATTTGCATCGGGCAAGCTTTCGCTTGAACGCATTTGTTCCGCGTAATTACAGGATAGGCTTTTTGCGCATGAGTGAGAGAGGGGGAGAAGGAGAAAGAGCGGAAATTGTATTTGCACATCGTATAAAATTTATAGCGATGACAGCATATGTGTATATTTGCAATATATTTCAACGCGATATCTAATTTTCATCTCGCAAATACTATCAATTATTGTCAATCAGAACCGATTGTGCTAAACAATTGGACGTTAAAAGTGTAACAACGAACATGGAATAATAATACGTGCTCACTCTAACTTTTTGTAACTCTGTAAAACTATAAAAACTAGACACATGATAGACAGTAGGGTGATTCGGTGATTTTATATAAAATATTAAACGTTGCGCTATGCATGCAATATACGTATATTCACGGCATTCGAATTTCTTCGAATTTAGCATTTAAGAAATCTCATATACCATCTTCATCGTCTTTTTTAATACGATTTTTGTCTTTGACATAAATTGATCATAAATCACATATCAATTTTTCATGAATAATCGATATTTGGCCGTTACTCGTTCATCGTGAATTTAATAACATGAAGGGAAAAGCCTTTGTCAAGGGTATATTTTTTCTTTTAAATTTACAAATACTTGCTAATAGAGTTTTGTGAAATACGGGGTGACAGTAAGATTTTACATAAATCGATCTTAAACGCTCTCAGTTTGCCGTGAATAAATCGATATTCAAACGCAATTTCGTGCGCCAGGTATTTAACAATGCGACGAAAAGAAAAAGCCTATCGGGCGCACGAGACTTTTGTTTAAATTCACAAGTACTTGCTAATAGAGTTTTTTTTACGAAATACATATATAACGCGATGGGAAAATTTAAAATTTAGAACACGAACAATTGTAAAACATTCTGCGATCAATTTAACTTGAAAGTTCAAACGACGTTTGAATGTCGCGAAGAGATAAGATCTTTTGACAAGTCTCTAAATATGTGATAGATGATAGCTGACCTACTTTCCATCGCAACTATCGAGAGACTTGTAAATACGACATGATTCTACGAGACAGATTCCACTCGATTATATATATAGGTATCTCGCGCAATAATGTCAAGATATACGATAGTAAGTCAATTTATTTATTAATGCGAGAGATATTATCACCAACTATTCTGTTTTCGTTTTTCGCACCGCTACGTGCGTCGTTTCGTACATCAATCAAAGGTATGAGATAAACTCGAGGAAGGAATTTGCGATTTAAAATGTTTAGATTTTTAGTGAATCTATCAAGATACCGATTACGAGAGAAACTTGTTTGACTGTCCGCTCTTAAAAAAGAAAAAAAAAGGTTTCCTCACGTTCTCAACGCCGCACATATGTACACACGCACTCACATATGCTTGACTCCAACGTCGCTCATTGATAACTGTGCTAAATGAAAGGATTGAAAAACAACGCGCGCACGTCGTCGCAAGTCCGGTCGACCGATTTCGCAAGCGCTGTTGTATCACATTATTAGGCCGTAACTCTCTTACCGGAACGGTAAACAAATATCACTTTTATTATCCCTATTCTCTCTCGCGGAAGTCCGTCGTTGAAAGTAATTTCGAGGGAAAAAAAAGAATCCGCGCAACGAGCCTGATGTTGATATACCGTTGTTTGCGTTGAGACGTAATTCTTGACGTAATTACTCGGATATTACATTACGCACCGAACGGGATCCGCCTTTGTTGCACGTCTCTTTTTCTTTTTTTTGCGCAGTGATTTCGGAACTGTCGGCATGGCAAGTAATGTGGGACACGGCAACGGTGGCAGTGCTCTAGTGATTCTATTATCGACGCGCCATCGACGTCGGCTAGGTCCACTTTCAGCCGGAGGAGCGACACTGTACCTACGGCCCACGTAAGTACCTTCACGAACATTTCCTAATGCCCTTCTGCGGATGAAACCCTTTCAAACCCAATGAGCCGTGTCGCTCCTTTGAAGACGCTCGCCTTGATTATCTCCTCTTATTAGAAGGAAACGGCCAGCGAATGTATATATATATATATATATAGGGTGGTTCCGAAAACCACCAGATAATATCGTGAAGTAAAACGGCGAGCGAAAAAAAGAATACTTAAAGGACAATGGTGTGATACATCTTTTTACTTCTTAAAATGACTATTAAATTTTTTATCGTAGACATTTTTTTGCTTATTAAAGTGATTTATGTTGAAGTGACTTATTATTAAAGCGTTACTTTTTTTTTAATGTCGCATTAATATATTTATAAATTATTTATTAATGTGTTATTTTTGCTTGTGAGCAACTAAAAAGTTGTGTACGATTAATTGAAAGTTAAATTGAAAATTAAGCCCAGTGATGAAAGAGACATTTTGAGGGAAGCGCGACGTCGAATCAAATATTTGTCGCTATGCCGAAGTTTCTGCTCGGCACGTCGCGGTACTCCTTGTATACCCATTTTCTTACGAGGTCGATACTCGTGTCTCAAGTTCTAGACGCCGAATCGAATATGCCGTGACTACTACGTACCTACGCGAGACTTCGGCGCGACTACGGCGACTTCTCTTTATGCCGCGCATGAAGTACACCTCATGCATGACGTGTCACTGATGAATGCCCATAGAATAATCGCGGCTGATATTCGATTACCGGTCGGTCGCCGGTAGGATCGCGTGTAAACATGCCATCCGAGCTATTTTTGCAGCGCTGTTTTAAAAGCAAACAATTTACTTTACGAACGCCTGCGCGTAAAAAAAATATCGCAGTCTGTGTCCCATAACTTCGGCGAAAAAAAAAGAAAAGAAACAAGGGGGAGGGGAAAAGGTCCTCCTCGGTTTTACGCAAAATACACATGCGACGATGCTTTCTCATTTTTTTTTCTTAATGCACCGATTGTTGTCATTTCCGAACCGGTAGTTTTGTGACTTGTACGTTAATTATCGGTCGACGTTCTCGAGAGATACTCGGCTGTCTCGGAAAGATGTCTGTGTTTGACATACGAGAAGACTATCGAAACTGTTAATTGATTATCGGACAGGGAACTTATCGAAGCGCCTCCGGGAGATTTCCCGACTCGCAAAACTCTCCATTACAATAATGGCCAACCGGTCGCCCGCGGGCAGTTTGCGGTATATCCGCTACCGGGCTCTTGAGGGAAGGTTCTTTTAAAGTAATACCCGTGTCGTCTCTCGAAATTGTCTACGGAACATGAAGTCTTATTACTTGGTTTGTAACTTCGAGATTTGTCTCAACGAGAAGCTCCTGCATTTTCAGTTACTTGTTCCTCGGAAATCGTTGAGGATGTTTTTTTTTAACCCAACTTTACAAAATTTATATTAAATTCTCGGAGAGATTCTGAAACGTATCGAGATCCCGATAGTCTATCGAACGGTCAATGAGCGTCATAAATTTGCTACACGACTCCCATAATGTCCGGCTTAAAGGAAAAAACTTTACTGTACGCGAAGTACAGAGATTAAGGGTAAAAGGCGGACGAAAAGAAGAAAATAACTGGAAAATCGACGGTAACATAATTCGATCCTCCGGCCGGGCGTCGTAATGACCACCTCCAAACACGCAGTGTATATACTTCGCGTATGCGAAGTAAAGAAGGTATGGATTATCGGCGACAGCGACGTTTACCTGTTTGTCCCCGCATTAGCCCGCTGCTTTTACGCCGGATCACTGTAATCTTCCAATTATTTCCCAATTCCCGAGCGAGGCTCGACCTTCCGTTAGCGTCGCGAGTCGCAAGAGAGACGGCAAATTAACGCATTTAACAGTGAACGCGCAAAACGGAAAACATCCGCCAGCCAGTGATCGCGGGACGCGCGTTATCTATTATTTGCGCAGAAAAAAAACTCATTGTTTACCGCGGAATCCCTCCGATTGGAAAATACCGCGGGGTATGTACCCCCGAAGTGAAGCTCGGCCTCTCTCTCTCTCTCTCTCTCTCTCTCTCTCTCTTTCTCTCTCTCGTTCTCTCGTGCTCTCCCTTCTCTCCCTCACCTCCTTCTCCCCCTCGCCGCCGCTCCTTCCATCCACCTTGTCTCCTTCTGCTTGCACGGCTGTGTATCGATACCGCGAGATCGAGCCGGCGCGATGCACTTCGTAGAACGCGTGCACAGCCTCCCAATCCACTGGCGTGGGACACGCCGAACCACGCGTGGCCTCATTCCTCCGCGATGTCGATTCGTTAATTATGAATATTTCAGCGGACGCGGTGAAGTGTATTCAAATATGCGAGACCTTCCTCTGTGTATTAATAATAATTATTATCCAATAGTAATAGTTGCCTCGAACCAACGTGATTATAGTCCAGTGAGTGGCAGGACCCATCGTGCACATATTTCTGAAGTTATATCACGCCTGATATTATCAAAATAA